AACAACAGATCCCAAATATACATGAAGAAACCATTGACAGAATTGAAGCGAGAAACACAGTTCTACAATAATAGTTGAAGACTTCAGTACATCAGTTTTCAAAATGGATAGAACATCTAGACAGAAGATCAGTAAGGAAATAGAAGATTTGAACAACATTATAAACCAATTAGACCAAATAAACATATATAGAACACTCCATCCAACAACAGCAGAATACACACTCTTCTCCAGTGCACACTGATCCTTCTCCAGGATAGACCATATGTTAGGTCACAAGTATACACATGAAATATATACTTAATAATACTTTAATTTATATGTACATATATATATCTCAAATAATTTGCCATTTCAATATTTCCTACATGTACAATTCAGTGTCATCAATTACATTCACCATGTTGTACAACCGTCACCACAAACCATTTCCAAATTTTCTCATCACCCTTAAAAGAAACTCAGTGCCCCTTAAGCAATAATTCCCTCTTTCCTCCTCCCTCCTGCCCCTGGTGACCACTAATAAACTCTGGTCTCTATAAAATCTGCCTAGTTAGTATTTCATGTAAGTGGGATCATACAACTTTTGTCCTTTTGTGACTGACTTATTTCAGCCGCTGTGGGAAACAGTTTGGTGGTGGAAACAACCCAAAGGTCCATCAACAGATGAACAGATAAACAAAGCGTGGTATATACATATAATGGAATATTATTTAGCCATAAATAAAAATGAAGTTCTGACACATAGATGGGCCTTGAAAACATTACGCTTAGTGAAATAAGTGAGACAGAAAAGGACAAATATTGTAGGGTTCCACTGACATTAAATATCTAGAATAGGCAAATGCATAGAGACAGTAAGTAGATTAGTGGTTACCAGAGGCTTAGGGGAGAGATGAAGGGGAAATTATTGCTTAACGGGTACAGAGTTTCTGTTTGGGGGGATGAAAAAGTTTGGAAAGCAATAGTGGTCATGGTTGTACAACATGGTGAATGTAATTGATGTCATTGAACTGTACACTCAAAAATGGTTAGATGGGCAACTTTTATGATCTATGAATATTGGTTCCCAGGTTAAAATGATTGTATCTGCAGTATTTTTAGCAGAACTTAAATTTACTACATCTCCGCTTAAAAATCTGAAAATACAGAAATAACATGAAAAGTAATAATCTTCATCACCTCCAAACTGAACTCTCCAAAATGAGCAGCATTTTAAATGTGGTACGGGTCATTTTTTAAAAAATGGTGGAGTTGGAGTACCAACCAGTGCTGTTTCACCAGAGGATCAAAGAATTTCCTGATCTCACTCTGCCATGGACCTACTTGACCTGGAGTGCGGGCGAGGAGTTCCTGAGGAAGGTCTGAAGACAAAGAAAATGGCAAATCGTAGATAATCACAATTTGTTATTGGTAGAGCTTATGCCACAGGGGAGGGAATTCCAGAAAACTGGACCAGAGCATACGGCTCAGGACAAGGCCTTAAGGGTTTTTCCTTCCGTCCAAGCACAAAACAACCTTTACCAAACTTCCTAAAATGAATTTGATGGTGCAAGTCCTATGAGAAAGAGGGTCACAAAGGAGGCAAACGAGGGCCGAGGATGCGCGCTTGGAAGCCCCTCCTGATGAAGTGGTGAGCACCGGCCGCGCTGCAGGTTAACACCGTGGTACAAAAGGGGCAGTACGAGCCACACTCCTTTTATGATGTTTGAATATATGGCGACCCCAACCATTAGTAAAAGAAGCTCAATACCTGTCCTGGTGTGAGAAGAATGAGGAAAGTGTTTGCTCCTTTTTTTGGGTGGTTAAGGGTTAGGGGAGAGGGAGAACAAAGAACTTCCCCTTCTA